TGTACTAGATGAGTGATGGAACATATGCATAGCAAAGTAAGGAAGATTAGTCTGAAACTAGATTTTAAACAGGCATATGGAGTGAATTGGGGCTTTCTGGAGAAAGTGATTGGTAGAAAAAGATTTGTTGATAGATGACAATGTTGGATATAGGGATGTTTGTCGTTTGGTTCTTTCGCCACTTTACTCAAGGGAAAGCCTCAAAAGTGGTTTGTTGGTTTATAGGGTATAAGACACAAGAATCCTCTCTTGTTGTTTCTTTTTACCATGATAGTAGATAAGTTGACGTGAATGTTGGCTATGAGATAAGGAAAAAAAGGATGGTATAAGGATTTGTTGTTGGAAATAATAAGAATAGAGGTGTTCCACTCCAATTGCAAATAATATGATTTCACACTAGTCCCATTACAATAGATCGAGCACCGATTTGCTCACATTTGTGCAAGTGTTCAAGAGCATTTCATAGAAATCTAACCAAGAGTGGATCAATAAGCATAAACATGGTAGACAAAATTGCAAGCAACGAGGTTGAGGCAATTAGATGTTCAAAACTAGTTTGGCCAAATACCTACTTAAGTGCCCCATTAGGAGGCAACCCTAGAAGTAAACTATTTTGGATGGGTGCTTGATAAGGTGACTCGGAGGCAAGAGAGTTGGGAAGAGGAGCTTTTTTGGGAGAAAGTCATACTCATTCAAGGATGTTCATCTAGTATCCTCTACTACTTGTCCTTGTTCTAAAGACTAGTGAGGTAGCTACGAGATTAAAGGGAGTGATAAGGAAATTCCTATGGGCATGCCAAGAGGGGAGATTAAAGATCACTTAGTTAACTGAGAGGTCTATTATCAATCTAAAGTTTTCAAAGGTTCGGGCAACTGGACCTTAATAGAATTTTCTATTTGAAATAAAAATTATAATGTATGGGGGTGCACAACTCGAGTACAAAAAAAATTTACACATCAATTAGTATATTAATTAGTCACCTAGATTCTCTTTGGAATACAAATATTCTTTCATTATCAACACTCCAAGAGACTAGAACTATGTCTCTCTAATTTTATCAATACTCTC